CAGAATACCGTCATTGCACGGACTTGTCCTTGTGCCTAAGCTCCAAGACTGCCACTTTCAGGCGGCCCACTACTTGTGGCCGCCTGACACCGCGAGTACTCGTATTTTCCTTCCACAGGGGAAGAACGAGCGAACCCCGTCTGAAAAGGGGTTTTGCTCTTTACATTATTATTCGGACGTTGGTCCTGAGCCTGGAATTCGAGATCCTTGTCCAGGACGTCCCAGGCTCCGGTCCAGCACAAAAAGGTTTCCCCCTTGAGACGGACCTGCGCCCCTCGCTTATCACCACCCACTGCCTAAAAAACAGGGGTGCCGCAAGAGCCGAACGGCTTATCCTTCAGCCGTGCAATATCGTGAGGAGAAACCCTTCACGATGTTTCGCTTTCGACATTTGAGTGCCGTACGCAACCCCGAAACCCATGGGAGGTTGCACGGATGTGGGTAACGCATGAAGCGTCGCCATGATAGTAGACTAAGTGAGAACACATGACTGAACGTTATGGTTCCCATGACAGTGGCATTCTTTTTATGTAACTCTGCGCAGACCTCGCTCAGACAGATTGACAGTTCTGAGTTATGGGTCAGGACGTATGAAAAAGGGACTAGGCTAATTTGCTTGTATGGGTTACTTTGTTTTATCGTGTATCGCATGGTTGATTTAGGATGTCCTAGTCGACCGACGCTGAATCGCACGTGGGAGATCAACGCCCCGGCGTGACGGTTCGCGTACGGGTCCGAGCTAGGCGTAGACCGAGTGTACCCCCTATGCTACAGCATATGAGAAACACCCTCGGTTGGGCCACCTCCGTGATTGCAAGTAAAAGCTTTCGCGTGTGGTTCAGTAGCTCGGCGGGGATACACCCACCCAAGGGATGGTGACAGCTCCCGCAGGTGGAGGKAAGTTGTACCTCGTGAGACCCTGTCCTGTCGTAGGGACTCGATGGAGGTATAGGTGGCGCACTCGGCCAGAGCGGCTCCGCCGCTTTCCTTTTCGTGAAGCGACTTGCGAATCTTGCGTGACGCGGCCGGGAACGTTCCCCCAGCAGGGGACTGTGCACTCGACAGATGGCGCCGTTGCCGGGGATCTCGGCTGCCTACCGAGGTCCATATTGAACGGACTTGGGTTTAGTGCAGAACAATGATCCAGGCAAAACGACACTTTTGTGATTAGAGATTGATATAGTGTGTTTTTGACTTTTGATATTGCCGTCACGACTTAAGAGAATGTCCCTAAGATTATTGTCAGGCCCAAAGAGGGGCCTCGCTGTCATGGTCAGGAACGCTAAGTATTAGGAGATGGCATGGAGTGGACGAATTCGTAGTGTGATTGTATGAAGGTGTGGATGCTTGTGTACGAGTGTCGAACGTTTGAATTTAGTAGTAGAACACAACATCTTGAGGTTGAGGTTGGACTAGCTATAAAGGTTTGTTAAAGTAATTAGGTTGACCATGTATAAGTGTTGTATATTGACAGGGAGCTGATTGTCGAAGAACGAGATGGCGGACGATGAACTCAATCAGGCCGATGGCGCGGGCCAGCGGTCGGTTATGTGGGGTCAGCTGGTTGTTCTACTGGATGGGCGCGGGGTGACGCGATCCAACATCCTGAAGGTTCCGATCTTCCACTTCAAAGGAGATAAGGTATCAAAGTGGCTTGAGTTGCTCGAGCAAATTACTGACGAGATGACGGAAGAAGAAAAATTTCGTCAAATCTCTAAGTACGTCTGGTGGGAGATGCGGTCGGAAGTTATGCGGGTAGCAACTGAGAAGGAATGAGCGAGATGACTCGCAAGTATTGCGAGTTTTGCGTTCCATGTCAAATAAGGGTGTCGACTATGTATAAGGAGCCATTATTGTGCGAGATGCAGGAGCAGTGGTCCATCTGGACCTACTGGCAATGCCTAAAGGAGTGGGCGGCTACAATTACATCTTCAACGCACCTGGCAATCTTATGGGGTTTGTCGATGGGCGAGCCATTTGCAGCAAGACGGGCGAAACGTTGGTTTTGTGCATCTCCGAATATTTCTTCAGATATCCTTTCGTTGTGGAATATGTGATGGACAGGGGGTCAGAGTTCACCTGTGGAGAAGTGTGAACCTTGTTGCAAGAGTATGGCGTACAAACCAGCTACAGGACTAGGGCACATCCACAGGCAAATGCTCGAGTTGAGAGAGGGCATACCACCATCACGAATCTACTGGCGAAATGGACAAACGACAGGGAGAATCAGTGGCCTAAGCATCTGTGCGCAACTTTCTTCGTGGAGAATATCACGATTAAGAGATCCACGAAGTACGCGTCAACAACGTTATGGTATGGACGACATGCCACGCTCCCGATAGAGAGCTTTCTGAAGACATGGAGGAGGCAGGATATGGAAAGCGTCTTGTCCTTCGAGGAATTGCTGGATTTGCGAGCCAGACAAGTTGGCATCGCAGAAGAGAGGATCCAGGAAGCGGCAGATCGAGTAACCGACAGTTGGCTAGAGGATAAGGAGAGGTGGGATCTCCTCCCACGAGTCAGGAAGGAGCCATTGAAAGTTGGAGATGTGGTGCTATTGTACGACTCATCGCTAGAAAAGAAGTGGTCGCGCAAGTTGGACAAGCGGTGGTTAGGCCCGTATCGCATTAGACGGTGCAGACAACATGGAGCATATGAAATTGAGGAGCTTAATGACACAGCGTGGAGAGATTGGGTCTCCGGTTCGAAACTGAAAAAGTTCAAAGCGCGGGACTAAAGTAAGGGTGACAGAAAAAGCGTCGTGAGCTGATATAGTATCCGTTTCCTTGTCTTATTAGATGGTACCCTGCATTAGTGATAGGGTAGGATTGTGTGTTAGTATTTAGATAGGTCTTAGTATGAGTTTTTAGTTCGCTAGTCAGGTCAGTCGTCTGAGGATATGAGAGATCTGCTTGGGTCAGTCAGTATAATCATTCCCCATCTCCTCCTATGCTTACTTATGTTTCCTCTATCATACGTCCTTCTTATTTGTGCAGGGTTGACTTTTTCGAAGTTGGCCACTTTTTGGAGAGGCGGGAGGATGGTGGAACAGGGGGATGAGCGACGAGCCACGTTTTCAATACTGGACCCATTCCATTATGGGGGTGAACATGTATTTCCATTTTTGGACGGATTAGTTAGGCAGGCTTGGGTCCTTGGGTTAGATTTCGCTCAGATGATGGAGAGAGTTAGGGGTACTAGCAACTATGAGGAGTGTGTGGCTCAGATCATGAGAGAGTCATTGGATTGGAGGCAGTTCGACAGGCGGATGTTGAGATTGCGACCTCAACCCATTGATCGACAGGGTAGGCCCATGCGGTTTGATGGGGCTAACCTGGATGAGTTCCTTATGACTTTTATCATTTTTGGGGATGGACAGAGATGGACCGAGGCGCAGAGGGTTAGGCAGGTACGACACTGGGTTATCCCGGATCTTAGATATGAGGTGAGTGCCATGTCACATAGTGCAGGCTTGGGCGGAGCTTATAGCGACGATTAGAGGGGCGTTCACCGCTGACAGACGATGCAGGCTGCGCAGAGAGGTTGGGGATTACATCCCGGAGCTCAGGGTATGCCCGCGAGCGCAGATAGAGAGGGATGAGGATGATGAGGGGCGATCGCGAGACAGGCGGAGAGAGAGTGAGCAGCCAAGAGATTCCACGCAGGCCTAGGACAGGCAGGCATAGAGGACGTCAGGATCGAGGGGATAATTTGGAGGAGAGGGATCATGTGCTGACTAGTGATGTTGGGAAGGTGCTCCCCACAGATGATTTGGGGGAGGAGACCTTACCGATAGGATCTCAGAGGCATGACGATTCATCTACCCCAGACATTGGGACAGTGTCAGCGCCAGAGACATGTCTGGCTGAGATAGGGGTTAGAGACCGTGGCGCGCCTGAGACAGATCGGACTACTCCACCTACACCAATACGGGACGGGGAGAAGGCTTCCCTACAGCTTGTGTTGATGATTGCTTCAGCCCGGCCTACGGAGAGAGATACCATGGAGGGAGTGGTTCCCGATACTGCATCGGAGAGGCCTTATCGATGGAGAGACACACGGGACATGACATTAAACCTCCCACAAAGGGAGCTACCACTTATGATAGGGCCTGCCACTATAGGACCGATGCAGGAGCACGAGGAGCCTCAGCCTGAGTGGCCGCGAGAGCGACGCCGATGCATGATGAGCTACGACATGATGGGCAGAGGGTTCAAACTCAGTCAGAGCCGGCAGTGGAGGATGATGAGAGAGGTGCGATGGGACCCTCATCATTGGACGGATCGTCGTTACTGAGCGAGAGTCGATTGGCTGAGCAGTCAACTGAGCCTGAGGGTTCATTGGCTGCCCAGCTATATAACATGGAGTCTCCTAGGATGCTGATGCGACAGGAGGTATCCCAACCCTCGCCCATGGACATGGAGACAGAGCGAGTTGGGGCCGAGGTTTTGGGGCTAGATAGAGAGGGTCTCACGGAGGACATGCACACTCAGCGAGTGGAGACGTCACCACTAGACTTTGGGGATACTCCATGACGAGATGGTGATCAGACTGAGGCCAATATGAGGGGGCATATTGAGGCAGGCACGGAGCATACCCAAGACACATCTCCGACTTATGAGGAGGAGAGCTTGCTGGAGTCTCGGGGGCCGATAGGTCACGAGCGTGTCAGGAGGGATGCATGGCTAGCCGAGGAGATGAGACAGATGCCATCATTACATTTTCCAGAAGTGACAAAGATGAAAGGAAAAAATTGTTGTTTAACTGCTGGTACACCACTTATTTGTTCATTGACTTAATGAAGGAATCTTGTGCATTGACCTTAGCGCTTAAATATCGCACTAAGTTCAAAAGAAGCACGCTGAAGAAATTTGGTCCACAGTTTCAATGTGTTGAGACAAGCGTGGTCCTATATAAACCTACTAGTTTATCGAGAACATTATCGAACGATGTTGGCTGGCTTTTGAGCGATTGGGCCAGGCCGCGAGACCGCACTTGCCGGTTGATCAGACCACTGGTGGGCTCAGGGTACTGTATGACGACTTAACCTTGAAGAGGACCTATATGGGTAGTGGCCTGGCAGCAGCTCGACAGGCGATAAAGCAGGTTCGGGATTACACGAGGAGAATTGCCATCCGATCCTTTGAGTTGAGTTGCGATAGACAGATGGAGCACGATGCACTGAGAGAGGTGGTGAGTGATCTCTGTACATTTGTTGAGGGGAAGGAGGTCCAGACTCTAGAGGAGGCCGAGGCGGTCCTCAGGATTCAGGAAAAAGAGGCGAGTGATTGGCGAGCCCAGGTTCAGAGGGTGCTCAGGGAGTATGAGCCACCTGCTGACGCGACAGATAGAGATAGGCTCGAGCACAGGATTGTCATTGAGACTGTGCGATCATCTCAGTTGGAGAGTCAGGTATCAACTCTTGTCAGGTTACGGCGAGAGACTGAGGAGCAGACACAGAGACTCTTCTATGGGGATGCGGCCACAGCCGGATGGCAGGAGCAGGTTAGGATGAGGAGACGGACAGGAGAGGAGAATATGCCTGAGGACGAGCGTACGCAGGCGGAGGAGGGGCTTCAGGTGAGATTGTTGTCTGATGCCTCAGTGCGAGAGTTGGTGGGAGTGATGGAGCATGTCAGGAGACTCACGCAAACCGAGGTTGCACGAGGAGAGGTGCTTCAGGGTGCAGTACAGAGGATCAGTGCTCTGGAGCGGGAGAACAGAGGACTGAGGGACACGGTACGTGATCTTGTCACCAGCGCCGAACGGGCAAGACAGTCCACCTCGAGGCTCGAGCAGAGGATTACTGACCTAGAGGAGAGTCGGAGGCGTCAAGCCACGACAGATGTGGTCGACGAGAGGAGGACTGAGGAGCAGCAGATTCCTATCAGACAGGCATACGTCTCTCATGAGGTAGAGCCAGGTGGAGTGAGGTTAGACATCCCTCAGCGAGATTCGCGGACGGAGGAGCCACTTGGGGCTATGGGGATGACATGTGAGGAGGCAGTAGTCGTCGACAAGCTCATGCTTGAGCCAGACGAGATCGAAAGGAGGAGAGAGGCAAAGGCACGAGGTATGGACTGGGTTCCTCCCTCAGAGTTGACTGCTTAGAGAGACGCATGGAGAGAGATGGATGGTAGACACGACGAGCGAGAGAGGGTTTTTGAGTCTCGGGATGTCATGCCAGAGCACGACATGAGAGGATTAGACGTGATATTGTCTACGACTCTACCGTTTACACCAGCTCGAGCTTTAGGGCCGATGGACGACATAGTGCACCTCCTTTCTTCAGAGTCTGAGAGATGTGGCGAGGGGACGACTACTGAGAGGATCTCGAGGATGTTGAGTCCTGATACAGTCGATAGAGTCGTACAGGATGTGACAATTCGACTCGAGAGGGCACATACTCAGATCTTACCCAAGCTTCAAAAGGCGAAGGTAGAGGGCAGCAGTACAGGTAATATGTGCTCATGGTGTGATAGAGGAATGCACGACAGAGTTGTTTGCCCCGCCTTCCAGGTTGACCTCAGGAGGCGAGTCGTGGAGTTTGATGGACAGGGGCTAGTCAGGGATATGTGTGGCGCTCCTCTTCCAACAAGACGGCACAGTGTTAGGAGAGTTGTATATGACAGACTAGGCCTGGAGCCGAGGGAGGATGAGTGACAAATTACATGACTACCAGACGCATGGGGTGCCAGACTATGAGATCAGAGAGAGGGTCGTTGAGGATGAGTTGATTGTCATGGGAGATAGGTTGTTGGGCACGTTCCATATTATTATATTTTACCTTGAAGACTTCAAGGCATGGACATATATGCCTCACGACTTGTACATTGAGAGTTTTGACTCTGGGGTTCAGGGTTTGAGTCATGTACTGTGTGTAGTGGTGACCAGACTTGACTCATGCTTCAGTGGACTGTACATACATGGTAGACTACTAGTTTGAGTAGATTAGCCTGAGTAGGGGTTTCAGAGATTGCCCTGGGCATGAGAGTCCAGTTTTGTGTGAGTTTTGTGTGTGCTTTGTGTGAGATTTGTGTGCACTTGATATAGGTATGACATTTTAGGTTAGGACATTGAGTTAGTGAGTGTCTCTTGCGAGATACATTGTTTCATTCAGAGACACTGCTTCGATATTCGGATGGTGATACCCACGTGAGACTTTCGATTCATGATGATAGCTCTGAGATTCAGAGCGCAGTGCACTCTCTGCGAGGGGTTTGGCTGGTACGACTCCTAGAGAGAGTACCTTCTTAACCCCAAGTGGGGCTTGTGGATATCACACCTACGGATATATCCTACGGCCCACGATACTATATTACAACTTTCCTTTGTGATCATTTTTGTTTGAGTATGCCCTATTGATGGGCTTAATTGAGTGAGATCTATGAGTCTCGTTTGGAAACAGGAAGCCATGGATGATTCTCACAGTGTGGACCTATACTCACTTCCCTTGCATCTATGATGTTTGTACTTGGTTTTGGTTGTGAGTGAGATGTATGAATGTTGAACAAGTGGTTATTGACCTTGGTTGCATATGAATCAGTATGTGAAAGTCAGTGAAAATTGTTCGATAAAAGTGTATGGAAATTGGCTGGACCGAAAAGGCAACCCAAATGATTGAGGGAAGGGGACCCGTTTTGAGGAGCCACCTGTTTATATATGTGAAATGAAAGCAGAAATGTTTTATTATAACTTGTTTCATGAAGATCAATAAAACTTTGATTTTTGCAGAAAACTGTCAGTGGATAACCAAGCTTGAGAAAAATGTCTGTATGATGAGGGGTTTCTTCGAAAGAGAAAGAAACCTGTTTGTGAGGCTCTGGGGTCAGCAGTCGCATCTGCCATGATTAAGCAGAACGACTGCAGACATTGAAAGTTGGCTCAAGAGTATTTTGGGAGGCCTAAGCCGAGGGCTAAATTGGCATCGTTGGGGCAACACCCAAAGTGGGGTGCTGTCCCGCCTAACCAGGACAGCGGGCCCCTAGCTTAACCTGAACTTAGAGACAGAGGAGTGATCCGCACCATCATCCATAACAAGTAGTATATATAAGCGGGTTATTATGATTACTATTATCATTTACTACTTATTATTATTATTATTATTATTATTATTTATTATTATCCATATTATCATTATTACTATCATCATATGGGAGGGCTAAATTAAGCCAAATATCGGATCACTCCAAAGGCTCTAACTAGGGCGACTGCTAGGGGGTACTTGGACCCAAAAGTCAGAGAGTCGCCTTAGCATTGTGCAAGCAATGTAGGCAACGTCATGGCTTAATGGCACGATGAACCGTAGTTTGGCCCGATCATCCAAACTATGGTGGGTTGAGGGCAGGACTATAACCCACCTATGATTAGACGCAGGGTCGGGTTGAGTTTTGATTTAATTGCATGAAGTGAGCTACGTGCAGCACTATGTCTGTCACAAATTGAGCTGCTCAAGGGGGTGTGCCTTATATGATAAGCCACTCAGAGAGGTATGCTACTTATTTCGATTGCAGGATAAGCTACCCAAAGGGGTATACTTTGGTTTAGCTTAAGCTACTCTACAGGGGTGAGCTGCCTGCACTTGTTGTGTGCTGCAGTTTGTCCCACTCAGGGCAGTTGTCTTGCCTAAAAACCCGCGCCGGAAGATGACAGTTACTTGACAGCCCGATTCAGACGGCACCCAACGAAAACCGAAAGGAGTCTAGGACAAACGGAAGGGGTTGGTATTTGAGCACTGAAGCTAACCTAGGGCGTAGTATAACGAAAGTATCCCTGTGAATTAGACAGGAGGCGCAGGTTGAACTCCTGCTCGCCATAGGGACGGCACAGAACTAGAATACCAAACCCCAAGCTGAGTCCTTCCGATTATACAGATTTGGTTATCCATTTGTTCAGTATATGCATTCACCTGTGTTTTCGTTCATAGCTTTCTACTCCTTACCCAAAGCGACGGGGACGTCGCTTAATGGGGTCAGGGAGGACTGTCACAGCAAACACCCTTACAAGGGTATTTGCCGTACTTTTTAAAGGTCGCACTGGGTGCGTCCTTCATCAATGAAATTCGTTAATGAGGTAAAACCCATCAGGGCGCTTACCTCGGCAACCTCGCTCTTGGCGAGACTCCGAGTCAAATACGACCAAATTAGAGAGTATGTGGGGCGTGCATTATTGCGTAGCACGGTAAGATGATCATTAATCGTCGGCGATGCCAGGCCATCGAGCAAGGAATGACCTTGACCAAAACCGCACGTAGCGTAGTCCGTGGAGCCAGAGTAGAAAATTGACAAACAAACCCGCGGTCAGTGTGGGCTATGCCCGAAGAATGCCGACAGGAGGCGTCAAAGCCATAGGGTCCAGTTACCCACCTCCGGTAATTTTTATTTTGGTTATATTTTCCTTTCGTTTTATAATGTCTATCTACCTCTACTTTGTAGACTGGCTCGGCCTCCTGGCGGGGCCTATCGCGAAGGGGATGAAGATTTCACCTTGTACGTGCGCGGGAAGATTGTGTTTGACGACGCGCTGAAAGGTACGGCTTCGTCAGACCGAGTTTTGAGAAAGTCGAGAGTTTTGGCAAAGCATGTGGTGCGTCCGACGGCCAGGGTGCCAGACGGTTTACGAACCTTGACACGAACGACGTCATCTCGCGGTCGGGAGATTGGCCGGTAGGCTAAGGCAAAGGCCTGGTTGGTGCGGGTAGGACCAATCACGATCTCACGACTATTCATATGTAGAGTTCGCACCTATCTAGCTCGGACTTGGGCTTTGCCCTATCGGTTACAGTACTGGACGTTCAACCGACGGAATTAGGGTTCAAGGTTAGCAAGCGACGGTGGAGCAAAGGATCGTGACCAACAGGGACTGACGGGTCGAGGGTCTTAAGGGACAATCCCCCTCGGTTTTGTTAGGCAGGCCCAAGCCTGGGTTCGACTGGCAAAACCAAAAGGGCGTCGACAGGTCCTCGTCCTCTTCAGTTCTACTACTTTTATTTTGTTGATTTATTTTTATTTTTATTTTTCTTCATTTTTTCGTCTGCTGACCAGGCCAGAAACTGGCTTCGGGACCAATGGCGAAGAAGTACCGCGAGGACGGATGAAAAAAACTTCAAAAGAGAGTTAAAGAATGTTTGAAGATTGTTGAGCGACGAAGAGGAAGGAAAAAAGTCATGTATCCTCACTCAATGGGGATGGAAGGCGACTGCATCACCGTCCTCCTTGACGGTACGTAAGGCGCACGGCAGCATAAGCTGTTGTGAACGGCATTATAGTAGGGAGTGATTGAAACACCTCCCCACAAGTGGCCGTCACGGCAGTCAAGAACCTTGAGCAAACACCGTTTTGGGCAGGTCCGTTCGGGTTCCTGCGTATTTGGGATGCTGATGATATTCCTCTATCCTGCCCATCTTGAAGCACGGTCCGAGGATTCCGGTTTCACCATGCATGCGAGCGGTGGGTGATCAGTCCACGAGGTGGAGAAAACCTGAGAGGCGGGGCCAGCACCTGTGGGTGCACCATCCGCCAACCATGTTTCGCTGTGAAGAGTGAGTATGAACAGACCTGTGAAACCAGCACCGACAGTCAGAACTCAGACTGGTACACCCGCGGATTACTGAAAATAGGCTGTGAAAACAACAGTTGCGGACCTAATTCAGTTGGTACACCCGCGAACTGCCGTAAGTAGGCCGTGGGACCAGCATCTGCGGACAAAACTTGGTGGGTACATCTGCAGACTGGTGAAAAACAGCCATGTGGGATCTATACCAGCGGTAGCTTGGCTGGTACACCCACGGGCTGCTGAAAGTAAGCCTGTGGGGCCAGCACCTGCAGGCATAGCTGAGCTGGTACACTCGCAGGCTGATGAAAAGCAGGCCTGTGGGACCAGCACCCGTAGGCCTAGCTCAGTTGGTACACGCCCCCCCGGCTGAGGAAATGCAGACGGGAGTTCAAAACCAGGTACTAATAGTTCACCAGACCAGCCAGTCTGCAAAATCCCGCGGTGTCCTTCGGGACACCCGCAAAAATTGGAACGATACAAAGAAGGTTAGCATGGTCCCTGCACAGGGACAACAAGCGTGGATCCCCTTTCTCTGCTCCTGCTATTTGACGTTGAGGGTGCACTCACACCAGAATTATTTAATTATTTTATTTATTCTTTTTGTTATGTTTTTACTTTTTTTTTGTTCACTGGAA